AGTACCAATAGCTGAACAACAAATACAAAATCTACTTATACTCACAAAGTCCTTTAAGCTTATCTCTACACACATCTCTCACATTACACCGCAAGTTCACTTGACCACGGACAATTTCCTGTAAAACTGACAGTACCACCAACACTAGCTCATCTACGCCATACAACCGCACACTGATCACACGCTGTCCGACCGCACGCTGAGACGATTCGACCGCGTACAGTCTACCGCTATAGTATACCGCTCCAGTTGACCAACCACAGTGTGACCGCTCAAGTTACTGACGTAATGTTGAGAGTGCTCTAATAGTATACGCTATAGTTACTGCTACATGACCGCCCCAAGTTACTGCTATATTATACCGCGAATTGACACAGCAGTGATACGAGTCAGTTAGGAATTATAGTTAGGTCCATAGCAGTCACGCCCTACAGTTACCGGCGCTATCGTTACTGCGTAGGAGTTACCGCGTATTCAGTTACTGCGAACAGTTACTGCTAGATGTTACTGCACTACGGTCGAGGCTATATTAGCTGCCTACTCAGTTACGCTAGCAGTCTATCGCAGCTTATAGTCATGAGCTGACTACGAATCACCGCCTACAGTTACCTCTCCAGCTTTACTGGCTAGGCAAGTTACGAGCGTAACCAGTGTACGCTAACAGTGTACTGCTACAATCACCGCTTAAGCGTTCTGCGCCTACACGTTACCGCTACCGTTACCGCTATAGTTACCACTACAGTCCACCGCTACAGTACCAGCTACAGTTACTGCAGTCACTGCGTATAGGATATGCTACAGGTTACCGCTACAGTCGCCGCTATAGTTCCGCTACCAGTTACGCTATAGTTACAGCTACAGTCACCGCTACAGTTACGCTACAGTCACGTTACCATATATAGAACGTGGCTTTTATATTACGTTTACATTATTAGCACGCTTGCTTTAGTTTTACGCTTACATCTATAGCACGTATACCGTTAGGAATATGTACGTTGACATCTATGCACAGTATACCTTTATATTACGTTACATCATATAGCACGGTTACCTTTATAGTTAGAGCTGCCACAATCTACTGCAGTGATTAGCGTTTAGTATTACGTAACATCGTATAGCACAGTGTACTTTATACTTACGAGTGATACGATCTATAGCACGGTTACTGTGTATATTTAGCGTTAAGTATATCGCACGTACTCAATAGGACGTATGTGAACAGGGCTACTGTCCTAGTCGCCTAGAGGCGGACTTACGACTGTGATGCAACGGGGGCGGAGATTCAGCGAAACATGTCCTCGCAGTTCATCTTTTAACCTTCCATCAGTGCTTCGGTTCTTATGTGTACCCATACGGAACATCGACGAGCACGTTATTTGACAAGTCACGCGTGCGGTGATAAGTACAGACCGCACGACCTTTACGACGCATAAGTTCATATGGAAATGTGCACTAGAATCGGCTTAGGCAAAAGTGCACCATAGATACTTAGTCTACTAGAACTAGGTTACCGCTAACAAAATGTGGCGTTATCAAAGTAGTGTAGTTATACCTCGACTACTTAAAAGCTGACTACGGCGACTGGCGACACATCTAACGCGTATTAAAAAGAATCTGAAAACTCTCTCTCACGCTCTTTTATATATCCTCCCCCCCCGTTCCACTGCTCGGCAGTTTAACGCTTATAAACCGTATGTGAACATTAGTCAGCACGTAGGCATTCGTGTGCAGTCTCTGTGAGGTTTCATCGACGGTTAGCAGGGTTAGGGATGACCAGGCGAGCCATTGGATGTCAATATCAGCATCTGGTACTTGCAAATCGTAGCGACTGATCCTAGTACAACCATCCGTCAAATTATCTCGGGCCTCGACCTGTACCTGAGATTATAAACTATCACATCCTGTCCACCTCTACCGTCTCTCTCGCTTCTCTCTCTCTCTACTCTCTCTCTCCTCCTCTCTCTCTTGCTCTACCCTCTATTCGGACGCCCCTACTCTTCTCCCCTCTATTCTCGCACCGCGCCCTCTCTCGCCGCTCTCTCTCTTCTCCGTACGATAATTCTGCCGCTCTACTCTCGCTCTCTCTCCTCTGTCTCTCTGGGTTATCTCTCATCTCTCTCGCCTCTATCACGCGCGGCTCTCTCACCCCCCCCCCCGTCTAATCTCGGCGCTCTCTCTCTCTCTCTACCCCTCTCTCTTCTCCTCTGTATGTCGTGCGATGGCGACTGTGTGTGTGTGTGTGCTGCCTGTGTGTGCTGTGTGTGTGGTTGTGTGTGTGTGGTGTGTGGCTGTGCGTGCATGCGTGCGTGTGCGTGTTACGGTGTTGCGTGATGCGTCGCGCGTGTGCGTGTGTGTGTGTGTGTGTATCTACTCTCTCTCTGTCGCTCTCTCGCTCTCTTTGTCGCTCTCTCCCCCTCTCTCTATCTATTAGGCGGGGCTCAGTTCCCCCTCTATTTCTCACTATCCCTATCCTCTCTCTCTCTCACTATCTCTACCCCCCCCTCTCTCTCTCTCTCTCTCTCTCTCTCTCGTCCTCTCTCTCTCGCGCGCGTGTATCGCACTGAATTGTCGCGCGCGCAATACTCACATCTTCCAACCTCTTCCTGTGCTTGATGTTTTCCTCCTTCAGGTTTTTGAGTTTGATGTGCAGCTCGGCATTGTGCGTCGTCTGCTGCGTCTTTGCCGTCTTTAGCGTCGCACGAATGCGCTTGTCGTTGCCCGACGGATTACAGCGCAGCTCGAGCAGCTGAAATAAGTGCGCGCGCGTTTTTGTCTACGTCTGCTCGGACTTCGAGCAAAAAAAGTTCGTGATTCTGATCAGTGATCCTAATCACTTCTATTCACTTATTTAAGCCTTTATTAAGGCCTGACGATTGCTGGTTCTTTCCGTTATCGTTAACGAAAGGGAGGTAGGGCGTCATTATACGCACACACGCACCTACGCACGTACACACGCAAGTGCACACACGCACATAGGGCCAACACGCACGCATACACGAACGCATGCCCGCACGCACGCACCCACACACGTTCACACATATACCTTCCCCCGCTCTCCCTAATTAACATTAACGAACTAAGCGAGAACCCGACGCCCCACAAACGTCGGGAAATTAATGAGTTACTTCTTTTGCATATGTTTGATAAAAACGTGTCTGAAATCTATTAGTCGTTAACAAACCCAGTACCATTAGACCCGGTCTCGCTTACATAATGCGAAATAAAATTATTATTTAATGTATTATGTACATTATGCTATTATTGTAATTTAGACCGAGCGAGGGTCACGCCGCTAAAACACCATTTCAATATAATATCCACGCGTCAATGTTTACTTTCGACTACCATAGGTAGAAAATGTGTTTTATAACCTCATTTGATAGAAGCGAATCAGCTTACAGTGTTGCGATTTGAAATGATATCAACCGCAGAGAAGATATGCTCGTCTGCGAAAGTTCACTGCGTAATATAAATTACTCGGGTTTGGACAGTTAATTGGATTTCTTGTACCGCGGCATCTCAATCTTAAACGCACGCGCTATTAACGACGATGCTGGGAGATGCAAATTCGGTCTTTTCTACACAGGTGAGAAGGTGGTGTACAGCGGTCGATGACGCGTACACCACGGCAGCGGAGATCTACAGGCATCGGCCACGCATGCGCCGTGATTAGTCGTGGTCACGTGATTCATTTACTTCACACGATTTCTTGTACGTAAACGTAGATAAGTTAAGTTAAGTAATGATATCGAATGCCGATACATTAAATCGAATTCGCCTAGAAGACGATAACAACCCCTTCGGGTTCTTACATTCTTACGTGCAGCGTGCTGTTTATCCCAGCCGAGCCGCGTCGCCACTATCGCCGTGTGCAACTACGGTCTTAATCCGCCGGTAATTCGGGCGTAATAACCAATTTAGCGCGCGTGTACGCTCGTCGCGTTCAGAAACGATGCTCAGTCGAGTTTCACATGCGCGTCTGGCAGTTTACACGCGAGTATGAGTTTTTCGTCGCGAATTCGTCGGTTATAATAGCTAGGGCGAGCGTATCAGCGGCCATGTTTCGTTATCACTCTCGCGCGCGCATGCGTAGAGCAGAGTCGTCTGAGCAAGGTAAACAGCATTTGTGAGTGTTGAGCCTTATTCTGTCGACGAATTCTGAAACTAGCCTTAAATCAGAAACTGTTACGCGTAGTCACCGATGATTTAACCATCCCTAGCTTGGCCGCGAACGAGAAGGTTACACACCCACGAGTATAAATGGTTACGAATACACGTTGTTTGCCATCGGTTTTGGAATGTACTCAGACTATCGTTCTAAATATGAAAATTACGAAAACCCCGTCGATCAACACGAAAAATCTATTCGTCGTGAACAATTTAATTACGTGGTTAGTGAAATTGTATCACATACAAATTGTTAGTTATGGGCAATTTGTTGTTACAGCTTTTTGGATGGTAATGTATGCAGCGCTTGTCCCCTGTCTAGTTACATCTCACCCCCAACTCTCTCTCCCCCTCTGCCCCTCTTTTTCTCTGCTTGTCTCCTTGTCGTTCTCACTCTTTCTCTCTGCCTGTCTCCTTGTCGCTCTCACTCTTTCTCTCTCTCTCCCTCTCTTGCCCCACCTCCCCCCTCATCTTCAACCCCAATAGCGTTGTGTCCCTACCCATATCCCCCGTTCCAGCAACATTCCCGACCCCACCTCTATTCTCATCCTCATCCTATCCCCATCCCCCATCCTCCATTCCCATCTCCTCCACCTATCTCTTTACAGTCCCCATCCTCTATCGGCGTTCCCATCGCCGGCTCCCACCCTACCCCACCCTCGTCTCTCATCACCACCCCCAACCCCCTCCCTCATCCCACCGCGCACGGGTATTGCCCAGACGCCTCTCTTTCACCTCTCTCTAACCCTCGTACTCTATCTCTCTCATGCTCTTGCTCTCTCACTCCCCTTTCCCCTCCTTCTCCCCCTCTCACCTTCGGCACGAACACCAAGCAGAGGGTGATCGTCGTGCAGAAGATTACAAACAGGCTGAGGATGCCGAACGAGGCGTTCTGCTGGTCCTGTATGAGGAAGGCGATCGCAGCGCCGGCGACGCACAGGATGACGACGTTGTAGACGGACATGCCGACGTACTTGGAGTCGTTCAGTGCCGGTATGTTCACGTGCCGCGTCTCCCACGCGAGGAAGCAACCGAACGCCTGGGCGCGCGCGGGAAACACAATAATTATTACAATATATTACACATACGCGCACACATATATACATATATAAATAAATAAATAAATAATTAAACAAATAAATAAATAAACAAATAAATAAATATATAAATGAATAAATAAATATTTTTAATTATATCAAATGTGCGCGCGAGGTGCGAATTTTCCTTCTACTTCCATAATCCGTTTATTAGAATATGTGCTGTCAACGGGATTTTTTTCTTATTCAATAATCCGTTATGTGCTGTCAACGCGCTGCAAGAATTAAAGCGTGACGAGGCACTTGATACAACGCACGCACGCACGCACGCACGCACGCACGCACGCACGCACGCGCGCACACACACACACACACACATATATATATATCGTTGTATTTCGCCCTGCACAGATCCATCCGTTGCTTACCATTAGAAGGCCCTTGGAGGCCATGATGACACCGAGCCAGATCTCTATGTGCTTACTCTCGCAGAATTCCCGCACGGGAATGATTTCCTGATCGTCATGGTGAGGGTCCCTCTGCATTAGGAAAGCGATTAGGCTACTAGTACATGTTACTAGCTATGTTAGTAGTATATTGAGATTCACACGCATCGCAATGTCGTACACTTACTTCGCAAATCAACGCTACCCCGACCCGAGAAGCTTCCTCGTTTAAAAAAAAACAAAGCTCAAATCAATAGCGACAAAAGCGCGACACCAACACTTGAAAGCAAGTGTCAAAAACCTGTGACAATTATCATGAAACTTAAACTAACAAAATATATAACAGGGGTAAATAATCTAAAAGGGAGATTATTTATTCTTAATAATTGACGCATAAACCATGTGGCATTTGTCTAATAAATCGATCGATTGCGTTCGACGTTATTGACGCTAAAAACAGAAAGAACGCGAAATACGGCAGAGTAAATGTAGGAGTAAATACCTTGGCGGTCATGTTTTGTTTCGCGCGGCTCATCGGATCAACGGCCGCCCAGGTGGCCAGCACGACGATATCACAAAACAACAGCACTCCAATTATCGCAAACAGCTTGTAATCCTTAATGACCTGCAAGTCAAGCGCGTCGACAAGTCGTCATTATAGGCGGCGTTGCGCGATGACAAGTGGCCAGTAACGAGGCACATTCCGCGGTGAGGCGCGTGCGAAATTGACTCGAAAATAATTTCAGGAGCCACAGATGCGAGAGATAGTGGCGGTAGAGAGAAGCGCAGCGAGAGAGGTATTGTGTTATAGGGCCAGATTGAACTCGGTTTGACTTAACCTTATAGTCACGATTACCATCGACCTTTGATGAGTCACTCGCAGTTGATACGAGCAACAATGATATTTTGAGAATCACTAGCCGAAGACGCTAGTTATAACACCCGCTAGGTCGCTAGTTAAAACACCCGCTAAGTCGCTCGTTAAAACACCCGCTAAGTCACACATTTAAACGGGCACTAAGTTGGTCGCTAACGTCGTCGCTTCGTGACCTCGGGATGACCCCGCTCCCACTTGGAGTGACATCGGGTGTGGAGATCAAAAACGTTATGATTGATAGCCGAAGTAATTTGTACAAATGTTTGTCTTCTCTCGCTCAATAAAATAAACACGCGGACAGTAATCGCTCTTAACTCTGTCACTTTGACGCGCGCAGTGTCAACAGGCGTCTGCGCTTCGAGCCGCCCGCCTGCATCGCGCACTGCTGCGGCCAAGCAACGCCGTGGTTGTGTACATACGCACCTTTTTATTGAGTTTGATGTTAGTGAAGATTGCGTGCACTCGCCAGGTTTTACTGAACATGGCTCCGAATGCAAGAGTGAAGCCGAGAGACATGATCCACGATCGGGCCTGAAAGAGACGGAGTGGTGACACAGTGGTCACAACGATGACGACAGGCTCGTCATGTCAACATGGGTGAAGGTTGGAATGTTATGCTAGCCGCACACTATCCGACCCGAGCGCGATCGGGAGGCTTACGATTGGACCGGGACGATCAAGTTTGGCTCGTGAGGCTTAAGTTTGGCTCGATTCGAATTTTGGCCCGATTCGAATTTTGAATCGGGAGCGGATCGGGTCGTATAGTGTGCGAGGGCTTACGACGCGACTCGGATAGTGTGCGTGGCCATCCGACCCGAACGGCGAGCGCTGAAGAAAATTGACCAATCACAGAGCAGCGCAAAGGGAACCGCATTCGAATGGAATGGCATTCGAACCATGGGAAACACTCCCGACCCTTAGTACACGCTAAATCCGCTTGGAACGCCCCGAGAGTGCCATGGTTTGCGTCAACTTTGAGTCGGACAGTGTGCGGTGGCCTCCCGATTGATCGGGAGTGCGTCGTATAGTGTGCGGGGGCTTAGTGCTGTGCACAGTGCAAAATCGGATAGTGTGCGGCTAGCATAATGGTATTGGTACCAAAATGTGCGGAATACCCAAGTTTATATACATGTTCCATACATACTTGGGGTCTAAATACAAT